TACACAGCACAAGACGCATAAAAAAATGACAAATGCAAATTTTTTGAAAAAATGCGAATTTCCAGTTCATTAAAAATTGGAATTGTTGCTCGAATCGTCGTTTATCAAAAAATTCACGTTCATTTACATTCACGATTGTGGTTCATGTCCGAGTTGCGAACGATTTTTGGGTTGAGGAGCTGCTTGAGGCTGTGGTTGACGGGGCGGAGAGGGGAGGGAAGTCGACAGTTGAGTTTAAAATCTTCAGCTCACACGCGCATAGAGAATATCTCTGCAAAGTTCCAGCTTCCTACCTTGCCTGGTTCGCGAAATCGTTTCCCACCATGTTTCTTTGGGGGTCCCGTACGCAGGGTCTAGGCACATATGAAGATTTTAAAACGGGAGGATGACAAACGGGGTAGGAACATATACCCAAAGTTTCAGCCTTCCAGCTTTCCTGGTTGCAGAGATGAAAGTGGGTGACAAAACACACACACACACAGCCTCTCGACAATATGCGTTTTTGCTGGCTGTAGCAGCGCAACAGCGCTGCCCAGTAAAAACGCAGAAAAAGGGATGGCAGGGTGGGGTAGAGAAGCGGTCAGGCGAGTATGCGGCAGATCATCGTGAATGCACCAGTCAAACCAACACAGAAAGCATACTTTACAAAACGTCGCTAAATGCCAACCTTTTTCTTCGACTGGTTGAGCAATTCGCGATAATTTTCGGAACGTAAAAAACGTTGATAACTGTCATTCTTCATCAGACAGAAAATGTGATCCTGGAAAAATTAAAATTTTTTTTTTTCTAGCACAACAGTACATGCACCACCATCAAATCCGAATATTTAAGCTCTCAGTGTTGTTGAAAGGTAAGCACAAATTCAACCACAGTTGCGCCAAACCTTCCATCAAGCAGCCCGTATCCGTACTACTCCATATACGTATATAGGCGTCCAGTAACATTTAAAAAAGCCCCAAAAATTATCACACATAATCCAGACTAATCACTGTAGTGATTTTTATGTAACTTAGGAGCAACCACAAGTAACCACAAGTCGAATGCAACAACTATTAGGCAATGCGCAGTGCGGCACTTGCTTTTATTTTGCATCCGTTGCCTCCATTTCATGCACGCACTTTTCATTGAAGGCTTTTCAAACAATGTTTTGTTTTTTTTTGAAACCATTCACCGGTATGTGTTGCCCATTAGCAACTGGAAATGTAAAAGTAACCTTGCCGGGAATTTTCTTATCGTACTGTTAATTATTATAGATGCATAGAGATTTGCAACAGTGCCGCATCTGAGGAGTCAAGAATAGGATACGAGGGATGTGGATGCCGTATTTTTGCTTAAACCGAGTGCCAAAACTGTCCAAGTGAGGAAAATGTAATCACTGGCGACGCGCACTGGGGGGGCCCCGTGCGATAATGCGTTTTTGCAGTGTTTCGTGCTGTAATAAGACTACTCGAAATTCCGCTCGCTGGAAACCTCTTGTACATACTGGTCCTCGAATTTCGGGAACTTAATTATCCACGCTATAGTAGGACAGGGAACATTTCCTTGAAATCCCATGTTCCCAGCTTTCTCAGTTCCCGAGTTACCAAAATTGCAGCTAAAAAATTTTACGGGGCCGTGCGTAGCCAACACGCATAACGGGGAGCTGAATTTGATAAATTTAAGTTGTAGATGAGTTGAGAACATTTCCTGAAAGTTTCAGCCCCCCAGCT